GAAGCAGTACCAGAGGTCCCAGCCACAGAGGTGCTGCAGCAGGGGCACGGCCAGCGTCAGGGCCACGGCCAGCAGGGAGAGGCCGAAGCAGTCCCAGGAGAGGGCCTCATCCCTGCAGAGGCGCAGGTCCTGCTGGAAGATGCTGCAGCCCTGCAGCTGCCCGGGGCTGCCGCACCTCACGCGCCGGGACAGCCCGGGCACGGCGGCCTGCACCTCCAGCAGGAAGTCCACGAAGCCCGCCCCGCAGGCGCAGTGCAGAGGGTTGGCGCTCACGTCCAGAACGGTCAGGGCGCCCGCCTGGAGCCCGAACCACGAGGGGTCCACCGTCCTGAGGGCGTTGGCGCTCAGGTTGAGCTCACGCAGCTGCGCGGCCCGGGAGAAGAAGCCGGGCTCCACCAGATGGATGTGGTTGCAGCTGAGGTCCAGCCGCCGGAGGCCCGTGCCCGCGGGCAGGCTGCCGTTGCTCAGGGCCTTCAGCTGGTTCCCGGCCAGGTCGAGCTCCTGCAGGCTGGGCAGCAGGGCCAGGCCGCTCCAGTTGAAGAAGGCCAGATGATTGTCCCGCAGCCGCAGCAGCCGCACGGTCTTGGGGAGCGTGTCCAGGGTGCTGGGCACAAGCGTGCTCAGGCGGTTCTGGGACAGGTCGAGGAGCAGCAGGCGCGTCAGACCACTGAAGAAGTGCAGGTAGATGTTGCCCTCGGCCCACATGCGGCCCAGGGCGTTCCCACTGAAGTCCAGAGCCAGCAGGGAGCGGCTATGGAGCTGCGGGGACACGAGGCCGTTGATGTTATTGTGGGCCAGGCTGAGGTGGCGCAGGGCGGGCAGGGCGGCCACGAAGCTCAGGTTGTGGCCCACGCCCTGCATGCTGAAGGGCTGGCTGTTGAAGCTGAGGTCCAGGGCCTCGAGCCGCGGCATCTCTGTGAAGGAGCGGTGGTGGTACAGGTCCAGCTTGTTGTGGGACAGGTCCAGCACCCGCAGGCCGGTCAGCCACACGAACTGCGAGCCGTTGACGGCCTGCGCGATGCTGTTGCGGCTCAGGAGGAGGCACTGCAGCCGCGAGAGCCGGGCGAACATCTCAGGCTGCACGCTCACCAGGTTGTTGCGGGACAGGTCCAAGGTGAAGGGGAGGGAGGTGCAGCTCGGCATGAAGTCCTCGGAGCCCGGGGAGCCTGCAGACGGCAGTCGGACCCCGCGGCCCCCGGCCCGCCGCGCAGAGGCCCCGCTGATGCGGTTGTAGGACAGGTCCACGTAGCTCAGGCTGTCGGGGAAGGCCCCGAAGATGCTCAGCCGGGCCTGGTCAATGAAGTTCATCTGCAGCCGCAGCCGCCGGAGGGCGGGCAGGCGGAGCAGCGGGTGGAACGTCTGGTGGAGCGAGCGGAAGAAGAGGCCGTGGAGGTCCAGCTCCTGCAGAGAGACCAGGCTGGCGAAGGCGGGCGCCAGGTGCAGGTAGGCGTAGGACACCTTCTTGTCGTAGTTGAAGGACAGGTTGAGCCTGCGCAGGCGCGTCAGATTCCTCAAGGCCTCCGTCTTGGCGATGCAGTCGTGAAGGAAGTTCTCACTCAGGTCCAGCACGGTGAGGTTGTCCAGGCCGCGGAACCAGGCTGCGTCCAGCGTGTGCAGAGAGCTGTCCTTGAGCACCAAGCCCTCGAGGCGGTGCAGGTGGCGGAAGGCATCCGGGTGCAGCTGCGGGAAGCCGCGCGGGCACTCCCTGCAGGGGTTGCGGGCGTGGTCACAGCGGCGGCAGTTCCCGCCCATGTCCAGCACTTGCAGGGCGGTCAGGTTGGCCAGGTCCCCAGGCCCCAGGCGGATGATGTGGTTGTAGGACAGGAGCAGGGACTTCAGGCGGGGCGGCAGGCCGAGGGGCACAGCCGTGAGGTTGTTGTACTTAAGGGACAGGTGGGTGAGGTTGTCCAGGCCCAGGAAGGCGCCCGGGGCCACGGTCAGCGCTCCCGCGCAGGGGTTCTTGTAGTAGCAGTTGCCGTCCACGAAGAGAGAGCGCAGGGCTCGCAGGCCGGCGAAGGAGGGGGCCCCGAGCACCAGGATGTTGGTGCGGCTCAGGGACAGGGACACGAGGGAGGCGGGCAGGGCGGGCACTGTGCTGATGCTGTTGTAGCTCAGGTTCAGCTCCTCCAGGCTGGGCACGGCCAGGAAGGTGCCCTGCTCGATGGTCATGCGGCAGGAGAAGTGCATGGGGCTGAGGCCGGCTGGTGGACAGTTCCACTTCAGATCCAGGCGCCGCAGGCTGGGCAGGTGGGCGAAGTCCGAGGCGAGGAGGTGGTGGATGCGGTTGGAGCGCAGGGACAGGCTGGTGACGTTGGCACGGGCTGCCCCGGCGGGGAAGTGGGGCACGGACTTCAGCAAAAGCCAGTTGCAGTCCACCTGGCCGTGGGGCCGCAGCTCACAGGGCAGGAAGGCAGGCAGGGTGCCCAGGGCCGGCGCCACGGTCAGCATCGAGGCCTGCACCACCAGAGCCAGGGGGCAGAAACCCTGGGGGCAGGGGTGTCTGTGTGAGCACCCAGCCCAGCCGCACCCCACCAGCCTCACCTCTCGGGGGTCCTGCACCAGGAGCCCAAACCCTGGCCTCCAAGGCTTCCCCAGAGAGGGACAGATCTCTGCCACTCCTGGGCTCATGGGGAACTGGGAGTTCAGCCTGGTGATCAACAGCTGTCTTTCACCCATACCCTAACAAATCTCCCCACTCCTGCCCGCAGACCCCAGGTCCCTCCCGTTCCTCAGAGGCCATCTCTCACGCCCGCCTTCCCTCCCCCCATGCCTTCTCCAGTCTCCCCCGGCCCCTCTCCTTTTGGTCAAGGCCCAGGCAGAGTCAGGTGTGTCCTGCTGGGCACGCCCGGGGCCCCTGGCTAAACCAGGCAAGTCCTCTCTCTACCTCTGCCCTCTTCACGGTGCCCCAGCATGGGGACAGCCACACATCTGAATTGGGACAGGACAGGGCGGGGCAGGGGGTGGGTCAGGGAATGGGCAACAGCAGGCATCCAGAGTCGAGCTCCAGCTCTGGGGCTCAGTCACCCCAGCACACTCTGGACTCGGGGCTTGCTGCCCAGGGTCCTGAGTGTCCCCAGAGCCCACAGCCCAGGCCCTGCGCACCCCACCCTGGCCGGCGACCTCTCTGCCCAGGCTTCAGGCTTTCCCTTACCATGTTGGCCAGCTGGGCTCTCCCGAGGGCCAGCTAAGAAACGGGCTGTTCAAGCTCAGGGTCTCTTCTCCCACAGCCGTGGCTCGGACAAGAAGAGGAAGTGAGAATTTCAGAACAGCCTGGTAGCCCCCTCCCCCTGCCTCTACCCCAAACTGGAGCCCCCACCTCTCCCCCACCCCTGCCGCTGCTGCCAGAGACCTGGGAAAATCATGGTTCTGCTTCCCAGAACAGGAAGGCTGGGACAGGGGCGGGTGTCCCCCAAGAAGGCTGGGCAGAGCAGGGAGGCGCAGGCTCCCGGAGGGCCCAGAGCACTTACTGGCATGGGCACAGGCCGTGGGGGTGGGCAGCGGTGAGATGAGTCACATTATTTGCATAGCCAGATGGCAGACACCATCCCTTACCTTCCTCTTTCCATCAGCCCCTCTGAGAATCTGCCCTTGCCCACGCCCCTCCTAAGAACCCACGCCAGCCCAGGGGTCTCTCCCTGACTTCAGGGGGTGGGGGTAGGTAGGTGGGGGGCCTGCGAGAAATGGCCCAGAGACCCCTACAAGTTCAGTGAAAGCTTGGATTGTCCGCTTCTGCAGCCTGGGGACACGGACACCAAGCCAGTGCCACCACTGAGCAAGGGGGCTCTTCACCAAAGCTCTGCCCCTCAGTGCCTGCCCCCAAGGGGTTCGCCCAGGACAGGACCGCCGCCGGCACAGGGGCTGCTCTTGCTGCAGAGCTTGGGGGTGTGCCCCGGAGTGGATCATGTGGCAACAGGAGCCTGAGGCTTCAGCTCCCTCCACCCCACCCCTCACACACGCCCAGGTCCCCACTGGACCCCAGCCCAGCCCCAAGCCCACAGCTGGCCCAAGGGACCCTCTATAGGCCCCTAATCTGCCCTTCCCAACCAAGGTGGCTGTAACTTAGGATCCTGACTGCTCAGGCCCAGACCCTGGGATCCCCACAGCAAGTTGTGCTCACTCCAATCAGAAACTGCCCAGCTCCCACTCGCCCGCACCCACGGCCCCTGCGCCCACCAGCCCCTCCTGCTCTCCTGGGCCAGCCCAGGGGCTCCTGCTGCTTGATTAATGGCTGCTCACAGGTCCCTGCAGATCTGGGGCCTGGAGCACTGCTGTCTGCCAGGCTCCCAGCCCTCCCGCACTCAGACCCTCCGTGGGGGTCTTCTGAGTAGCAACGTGCAGGCCCTTCACCTGCCATTGCCTTGCCCTCTCCTGACCCTCAGTGGCCTCCACAGGCGTGGAGACCCCCCCCACGGGGCCTCCAGACACCCTGCTCTCCTTGCTGGGGATGCCCCCCGCCCCGCTGAGGCACTCTTGGCCGGTCCTCCGGTCTCACCCCTGCGTCTCCCCCTCTGACCCTCACTGCCTCCCCCTAGAATCCCCCCCCTCACTTAGAGCAGAGCTACCTGCTTTTACAGAGCCCGATTCCCTCGTCCCCCATCAGCGGGGTGCAGAGCTAGTGCGGTGCCCGGTGGGGGGGGTGGGTGCTCAGGGCTCGCTGAGTCAGCTACCGAGGGTCCTCAATCCTCAGCTCAGGGTGGGCATGGAGAGGGGGTCTGTGTGTGGGATCAATGACGGAGTGGACAAGGAACAAGCAGGACCTCCCAGGGGTCTCCACCGAGAGGTGGGGCTGGGTACCTGCCCTGGTACCCGCTGGGCAGACGTCATGACAGCCAGCTTCCAGGGGCTCCTGGGTGGGCTTATGTTCTCACATGCCCTCCCGGGAGGGCAGCAGAGACCCTGATGGCACAGGCCATGGGTCAGAGCTGCTGTACTGCTGTCCTTGAAGACAGACAGACAGGCAGGGCCACACACAGAGCAATGCGGGCAGCTGATGATTCCTCCAGGAGGAAGCTCCTGGCCTCCAGAAGAAATCAGCCCCGCCAGCACTCAGATCCTAGGCCCAGGGGACTCCCTCCAGACGGCCTCCTGACCATGAGAACCCACTGGTGTGGTGGAAACCCTCGGAAACGGCTGTGCCCAGATCATCACGGGCAGCGCCCACCGTGCACGCCCACGGCCAGGAGGGCCGGGCCTCTGCCTGCCAGGCCGTCGGTGAGCATGCAGGTGAATGGGCAGAGCCCCCGGCTCCCAGGGGCGGGCTGCAATCCCTTAGGAGCAAGCTCAGGCGTTGATTTAAAAATATTTTATTCTTTAGAAAATACAGCGTTCTCCCATCCATCCTCTCGTGGCCAGAGGCTAGTCTCGGTCCCCCCTGGGGGGTCGGGGTCATGCGAGGTGCCCCCCAGCCAGCCCTCCTGAGCAGTGGGGAAGGGCCCTGGACCCCTAGGCACAAGGTTGGGAGACAGGGCCAACGGGGCGAGGGTCACAGATGCCAGCCCAGGGGCCCCCATAAGCTGCAGGGGGTGTTCAGCCACCAAGAAGCCATCCCCCCAGCCCGGCTGCAGGCGCAGTGGGGTGGGCGGCCGGTCCACACGCCGGCGGGCAGGCGCCAGCGCCCTAGTTGTCCTCTCCGTTCTCGCCGGGGCCCCGGACGAGGCGCTTGTGGCCCCGCTTGCCGCCCGGGCCCTTGGGCTTGGCGAAGGCCTGCCTGGAGGCCTGCTGCTTGGGGTGGACCTCGTCGTAGAGGAAGTCGGCGGTCAGCTCCGCCCCGTCGCCGATCTCGATCTGCGGGCAGTCGGGCTCAGTCACGCCTCCATCTCAGCCCACGCCATCTCCTCCCAGGGCGCCCCTGGCTGGAAAGCCACCCCCAGCCGGCCTGGCGAGGCCAGCGCCTGCTCGGGTCACCAGTCAGCTGGGCCGGCTTGGACAGCTCCTACCTGCTCACGGGGCCCCATTATCCGACAGGGCAACCAGGCTCCCTGCCCAGCCCTCACTGTGGAGCTCCAGGTGCAGGTTGGGGGGTGGGGATCCAGCCCCGGGGGCGGGGTGTGTGTGTGTGCCCACCTTCTTGGTGATGTCCAGATGGAAGTCCTGCTCGGCAGAGTCCAGCAGGCGGCTCTTGCAGCTGGAGTAGAGCATGCGCTCCCTGATGCTGCACTTGTAGCCCGGCATGGAGTAGATGAACACTGGGGGCGGGCGGACGAGAGACACCATGTGGGGTGGCCACACCCCACACACCCTCCCCGCCACTGCCCCGGGCAGGCACGGAATAGATGAACACTGGGGGCGGACGGACGAGAGACGGACGGACGAGAGACGCCATGTGGGGTGGCTGCCCACCCCACACACCCTCTCCCCCACTGCCCCGGGCAGGCATGGAGTAGATGAACACTGGGGGCAGACGGACGAGAGACACCATGTGGGGTGGCCGCCCACCCCACAACCCTCCCCCCCACTGCCCCAGGCAGGCTCACCCACAGACTCCAGTTGGTCCCCCTCATGGGTGTGCTTGTAGAGGAAAAAGTGGTAGCGAGCGGAGTCCCGGGGCACCCGCGAGGGCAGCTGGGCCACCTCGGTGGGCTCTGTGTGCACCAGCTCGACCGTCTCCCGCTCCTGGTCCAGCTTCTGCCAGGGGCCCCGGGCAGCCGTCAGGGTCCAAGCCCACCCCACCACACAAGAACCCTCCTGGGGGGTGGAGGGACTGACAGACCAGCAGGGGCCCGGCTGGACCCATGGGTATACACGCCCAGGGCACCCCGCCCAGGGTACCCTTAGCTCCCACTCTGCCCCTCTGAAGGCAGACTGCGCACCCAAGGGGAGGGGATGGGCCGGAGAGCCACACTTTGGGTGGAAGGAGCCATTTGGCCTGAAGAAAACTGGACATTAACCTTACAGCCATCAAACCCATTCTGAGCCACAGTGACCCTGCAGGACAGGGAGGGCTGCCCTGTAGGGTTCTGAGACGGCGACTCCTAACGGAAGCCCACTATGCCACCCGGAGCTTCTTGCCCTGGAGAGGGCTTCCCGATTAGGGAGTTACACCCTGGTGGCTTACGTGTGGGGCTCTTTACCACAAGGTCAGCAGTTTGAAACCACCAGCTGCCCTCAGGAGAAAGAGGCTTTCTACTCCCGTAAAGAGTTACAGGCTCAGAACCCCCAGGGGGCCCTTCTCCCTGCCCTGCAGGGTTACTGTGACTAACCTGGGTCAGTGAGACGGAGGGACCCTGCTGATGGGGTGCAGGGGAGCCAGGTCTGGGGCTGTGCAGTGTGCACCTGGGGGCAGTACTGGTGCAGCCTGGTCGGCGAACACAGTGCACCCCACCTATCCATGGGAGGGGTGGTCAATGGGAAGTGTTCCCACAAGGGCTGGCTGAGCTGTAGCATGTGCCTAGGCAGGCGGTAGGGGCCGGGTGTGTGCAGGGGGCGGACCTGGTACCCACCTGGGGGCCTGGTGTGTGCAGGGCAGGGGCACCTGGTACCCACCTGGGGGCCGGGTGTGTGCAGGGGTCGGACCTGGTACCCACCAGCTGAATGTAGTTGATCGTCTTCTGCCTAAGCTGCTGCAGCGCCCGCTGGGCCTCGGGCTGCAGGGGGAAGGCGAGGCCCTGCAGCGTCTGGTGCTTGCTCTCCACGCTGATCTCCGTCTTCACCTGGGGGTGGGGGAGGAAAGGCTCAGCTACGGGGCTGGTTGTGGCCGGGGGCCCTGCCCCTGCCAGTACACCCACCTCGTTGATGCGAATCTGCTGGAGCTCTCTCTCGGCCGAGGTCAGCGGCGCGGGCGCTGCACAGGAGGACAGGTGCTTCTGGTACCCAGCGAAGGAGAGGTCGTCCTGGCCGGGGCACGAAGGGTGGGTGTCCCTGGGATGTCCCAGCTCACAGCCCCGGACTCCCCTGGCCTGCCCAAGCCCTGCAGAACGCTGTGGACCGTGCCTCCACCTCCCCTCCCTGCCCCCGGAGCTCCTGGTAGAGGGGAGGAGGGGAGGAGGTTACCTTCACAGTCCCAAAGAGCTCATCCTTGATGTGGCTGCCCCCAAACTCCTTCTTCACGGTCGCCCGTGTGGCTGCATACAGCATCTTCAGTCGTACCTGCAGTGGAGGGAGGGGCCGGGGGTGGGACACAAGCTCCGAGTTCCCCCTCGGGCCAGGAGCAGCAGAACCCCGAGGGACCAGCTCTCATCATAGCCACACGCCCAGCAGAGGAAGGACACAACTGGAGACAAAGGTGCAGCGAGGCCAGCTCTGGCCAGTGGGGGCGAGACCACACCTTTCCCTCTCCTAGAGCCAGGCTGTGGCAGCCGGGAGGCTCACGGACAGTGGGGAGGGCCGGCGGAACTGCCAAGTGGGACCGCTGCGCAGAACGGCCGAGCAGAACAGTGGCTGTGGTTTCCAGGCTGCAGCTCTATCCAGAGCAGAGGGCTTCGTCTCTCTCCCTTGAGCGACTTGTGGGTTCAAATTGCTGACCTTATGGTCAGCAGGCCCACTGGTACCCCACCATACCACCGAGGCTTCTGAAACCCCAAAGCCCAAGCCTGGGTCCCAGACCACAGGGAGCAGGCCTGTTTCCCCTCAGGCAGGGCCTGGTCTCGCTTGGACCCAAACCCTCCGCGGCCAGCTATGAGTCTGGGGCTGGGTCGGGGTCCCGGCACTCACGGGGGAGCTGTCCGGCGACCAGGCGAGGAAGAGCCACTCGAAGCCCTGGGCATTGCGGGAGTCCAGGCGGTAGAGCAGGTAGCACGGCTCCTGTGGCTCCAGCAGGGGCAGCACGGCCCGGTCATAGTCCTGGTCCCAGCTGCCCGCCAGCTCCCGCGAGGCGCCCAGCACAAGCTGCTCTAGGGACAGAGGCCGGGTGAGCCGGGGCGCCCGCTCCTGCCTCTGATCCAACCGGCCACTACGCCCCACCTTCCTGGAGCCCAAGGCCCCAAGGGAACAGGTAAATAAGGGCACAGAGGTCCTGGGCATGGGCCCTGGCCCTAGTGCGCACTCACTCTCACATTCACGCCCCACCCCCAGTGCGGGCACTCACACACACCGCCCCCAGCACACTCACACACACCTAGCCCCCAGTGGGCACTCACATGCACATACCCCGGCACATGCACGCACGCGCGCACGCACACACACACACACACACACACACAGGTGCACAAATGTGGACATGCCCAAAGCCCACTCCATCCCACACAGACAACCCCGAGAAGGCAAGGCCACGGCAACGCTGTGGCCCCTCAGACACCCCCACACTCAGCCGGTTCCTCAGACCCCACCCACCCCAGCAGGTGCTCAGCACCAGGAGCCACCCACCCACCATGCCTGCTCCCCTCCCTCAGCCGGGACTCTGACACTCTCAGGAGGGGGTATGACAGCCTTAGGCAGCAGGAGCAGGGGAGGGGGTCCCCCCAGACATTGCAGCCCCAGGAAGCCTACAGACACGCTACCAGCGCCAGGCCCCTCCCACACAGTCAGTGACCAAGCAGAAATAGCCACCTCCCCATGCCCAGGGCCAGCAGGCCCGGCGTCTCCACGGCTGGTGCACAGGGGTTGAGTAGCAGCGGCCCCAGGGCCTGGGTGAGCTGGACACTGGACCTTTTAGCCCATGCTCCAGGTCATCCAGCACCCTCTCTAGTCACAGTGGCCCATGCTTCTGAGGGGCCTGCATCCCTCTTCCACCGCTCCCCTGTTCCCCAACATCTTCGTAGACATCTTTTTAGGGGTGGGGAGTGAGGTGAAGACTGGAGCCCAGTTAGGGGGCGGGGCTGTGACCCGCCCCCCCAGCTCGCTCTCACGCACCACAGTGAACCCCGCCAGCCGCTGGATTTAGGGGTGCCATGGGCCAGACACTGGGCTATGGGCCACACGGTCAGTGCCCCAGCCCATGAGGAGAACTATGCGGCTGTCAGTCCGGGATGGCTACAGCTTGGAACCAAATGGATGGCAGTGGTGTGGTTTTTCTGGGCAAAGCACAACCCAGCCCGGCAGCCGGGGGTGGGAGGGCGGGGGATTGCGGGAATGCTGGGTCGGTGGGTCAGCTGGGGCCCTACTTGTGATATCAGTTGGGCACCAAGTCCACAGGGAATCCCCCCAAAGGGCTGCAGAAACCCATGGGGAGCCAGCCCACTTCCAGTCTCTCTCTCAGCTCCTGGGGACCCCCTCAACACAGAGAGTAGGGGGAAGGGTCTTCCTCTCCAAGCCCCTCTGAGTTAATTTATTGTGCTAACCTGGCCGATAAACACATGTGGGGTTAATTAAAGGGCGGAGGGATAAATGGCTCAGTGAGCCTTGCCTTTCGAGTTCTCGGGCCTGTTGCTTTGTGATGGTGGGACCAGGGTGCAGCTGCCTTAGCCAGTTCAGTGCTTCAGTTGGCAAGGCTGACTTCCTTGCAAGACATGCCCAAGGAGACCTACCCCGATGCAGCCCTGGATGCTGGAGCAGCCGTGTGGAGACCCCTGCCAGCCCTGAGATGCTTACACACTCACTGACTCGGCTTTTCTCCTGCAGTTTGCGTCATTATGTGTGTTTTGTGAGATGGAGGAGGACTTTGTGGATTGGTGTCGGACATATGGGTTAATG